TCAGAAGACTGAGTATATTTGAGATGGGAGCGTCTACTAGAACTTAGCAATGATTCAAGAAGAGTAATAATTATGTCTGTTGACGGAGAACTCTTCTTTAGCTTCTGTAGCTTTTCCTCTGACAGGAACACACATACTGAGGCTTCCACCATACATTCACTCACACACTCACACACACACACACACACACACACACAGAGAGAGTGGATCTCATCAAGTGAGCAGAGGTCGGCCTGAGGAACTGACCACCATTCACAGTTTCCAAACATTCCAAGGGAAAGACTGCTCAGCTCTGCCCGCAGTACAGACAATGATCCCCTTTTCTAAACTACTCGAATAGTGAACTGTTTCTCCCACACAACTAGCAACACATTCTAGACACTCACTAGACTTGAACCGAATGGAAACGCATGCAAAGGGATGTATTCATCTAGACTCCTTTATAATATATTTTTTTAAGGGGTTATTGCATTTGTGGCAATGTAACAAGACAAGTGGAGGTTTGTGGCAATGCTGTGAGTAAAACAATATTTTATACAATTCTCTGACATTATGTGAATTGTTATGATGTTGTAAAAGGGCACCTTGTTAAGTCAGGTTAACATAAATATTTCCAATTTTCCCATTTCATTTAGCTCTGACTGAACCCCCAAATGCATAAATAAAAAATACACAGCTTTGGTATTTTAGGTATAAAATGTTTTTTTTAGAAAATATAATATAAAAGCTGCTGTAGAGAGAAAAGTAAAGGTGAAATAAACAAAAAAGGGCAACAACAACTCTGCATATAGATGCCTCCCTCTCCTTCACTCCCAGGTGGCTTCGCCCTCTGGGCTCCTGTCAGGCAGCCCTGACAGCCTCCGAGGGGAGAGATGGGAAGTGGACCATGACTAAATAATATTCAAAACCTCCCTTTGGTTTGCCCACTGTCTCCCCTATTTCTGTTTCATAAGGTGCCAGGAGTGTGACTGCACAGAGGTGTAACTCAGGCCAACAGAAACCATCCAGAAAAGCCGTGGCAGACAATTTCACAGCCGTTACCCCTCTCAGTAGGAAACGATGGAGAGGAATAAATATGTGTTACTTTGTCTAAAAACAGTAATAACCAGCCCACATGATGATTACTATTCTGAATAGATGAAAAAGAATTCAATGCTGAAATCAACAGATGGAGCTCTTGAGCATCTTTGAGAGAAAAACAGTTAATTTGTGATGCATTCTGGGTAGTATAGTACTGTACCTCTGACAGGCAGCTTCACGGTGCTGTTCATGTTACACAGGTGTCCGTGGCAGCACTCCACAATCTGGTCTCTGGAAGGTGGGGTCTTACAGGTCAACGTGCTCTGCTCATAGACCTTAAAGCAGCCTTTCTGGTACACCTGGGAGCCGGCGCTCACTGTCAGGGATGAGAAACACTGGTGGCCCATGCAGCGGTTCCCTGTTTCACACGAGCTGCCCTCACACACACACTCGTGTTTCTCTTTTATCAGGGGTTTTACTTCCTCCGCTGGAAAAAAGATTCAAGAAGAAAACATGGCTGGAAAATAAGTAAATGTTCGACAAGACATGATTAAAGCTATTCTTGCAAGACCATAAAAATTCATATAGTTTTTTTTATGGTGAGTTTCGTCATAAAATGAAATTGTTATGAGACAGGAGATCCAAAGCGGAACTTTTACACAATCTTAAGTGACATAAGGTCTTTGGTGAACGGCAGCCAAGAGAAATGTGCACAATGTGTACAAAGTCACCTTTCCCAGGAGCTTGCACAGTGACATTCATGTTACACAGATGGCCCTGGCAGCACTTGACAACATGGCCCGATGAGGGTGGCATGGCACAGGTGGCTCTGCCCTCCTCGTCGTCCCTCAGGCAGCCCTTCTGTTGGACAGCCACCCCATCAATCATCTTCAGTGAGGAGAAACACTGCTGGCCCATACAGCGATGGTCACGCTCACACACACCGCCCTCGCACACACAGTCCTGGTCTCTGAGGACTGGTCTGCCAGCAGACAGTTCTATATCTGATAAGAGGAAATAGAGATATGAGGAAACCCATTAGAGCAATACCATTAGTACCCCATTAAATTAAATGGCATTCACTCAGATCAGAAAACATGCATGTTGAAAATGGGTATTTAACAAGAGGTCATGTATGAATTAAAGGGTTAAATTAGTGATTCTGAATTTTGAAAGCATTGGAAAGTTCTTATTTTACATATATGAAGAGTTGTGTCTGGTGTAATACAGAAAAGTGGAACACAGTTCACTGCATTGAGCAAAATGTGATTATTTTATGTGTGATTTTGCATACATTTGCCATATCACATAATATATATTAATATCTGCAGTAAAATTGTGTTACTGATTTAACCACATTGCACAGTCCTAGTGGAAATGCAGCTAATACTGTTCATTAACACTGACTGACTGACTGACTATTAAGAGTGATTATTAACAAGTCTACAGGAACAGTCCTTGGGCAGTTGTACAGATTAGTTATTTCCCAAGTTGGTGGTAGGCTGGTTAATAAATCTGTTTTGCAGGCAACTCTCAAGTGTCTCTGAAAGAAGTGAGACAGCACAAAATATAGAAAAGGATAGTGGTGGCAGTGGTAAAAATTACAAGCTCTTCATTTGTCTGTTTTTCCAAAAAGAATGAACTGAAGGTAAGGGACTACAAATGGGATTAACAATGAAAAGCAGAAGCTCAGGCAGAATATCTTCCACACAATGTTATGATGCAAACATCTCACCTTTTACTGGCGACTGCAAGGAAACATTCATGTTACACAGATCTCCGTCGCAGCACTCTACCACCAGCTCAGGAGTCGGTGGGCTTCCGCAGTCCAAGGACACTTCCTTATCGGCCACGATGCAGCCCTTCTGCAGAACCCATGTCCCGTTCAGTATAGAGAGAGAGGTGAAGCACTGCAGGCCAAAACACCGGTCCCCACTGCTGCAGGATGCTCCGTCACACAAACATTCAGAGTTTCTCACACTGATGTCACCTGTAAAAGAGGGAAAAAAGTATGGAACAGGTCAGATTTCATCCCTGAAAATAGTTTGAGAGCTTCAAAGTACTTTAATCTCGAGTATGCTCCCAAATGTTTTGTGACAACAGATGATCAGCGCGTGTCCCTTTTGTAAGGATGCATGTAAATTGAATGTAAGTACAAGGACGAGTGTGACGTGCCACCCTAAAAAAATCTCCACTTTCCACTGCATTCCACCGTCACTGCAGTTGTTTAAAATAACACTGAGAGACAGCAGATGAGAGGGAGACAGACTGAAGAGGGGTGGGGAAAGGAAAAAAAAAATGTTGAGAAGAGAGAGGCTGAACGATTGTGTGTATTAACTGGAGTAAAAGAAAATGGGGAACACAGACATCCAGTGCACATCTTTCCAACTACTGTATGTGCTTGGGATCACCAGTGACAGATGTATGACCTACTGTAATCTTTTGCAATAACAAGGCTAGCAGGAGAGCTAAATTCAACTAGATCCTGTCTATTTTATGCTAGAAGGACGCCTCTCTCCTCCCTAGAGCACAAGCCTTCCTTTAGGTCTGATGTGACGAGCTGTGTTTTGTGACAAGACACTTACCTTCCAAGCTGGAACAGGGAAAGACCATGACAATCAAAACCAGAAGAAACATGTCCCCGGCTGTCATTGTAGACCTGGAGGGGAGAAAAAAGAAACAAAAAACACAAAAATGAGTGCTGCAGTCCAATGAATGGGCTGAAATATTATGCAAAATAAAGGATTTAAAGGCAATTTTTATATTGATGCATTAGAATGCTTTTGGTATTTTTCGGGAGAGTGTACAGTGAGACAGAAGACAGCGACAGACAGAGAGATAACAACAGGATTTGCTGTCGACCTAAGAGTATTAGAGAGAGCAATTTTACAGAGGAAGACCTTTTCTTATTTCCAAAAAAAAAAAAAAAAGGAAAGAAAATAAAAAAAAACAAAAAAAAAAAAAGAAAGAAGAGTCAACGCCAGATTTAAGAATGCTCAAGTAAATGCGGTCTCATGTCTTCCTGTTGTCCTTGAACAAGGCACTTGGGGGGAGCTGGCAGCAATGGGGAGGACTTGTGCTCTCCCATTTGGCTGGGCCTCTGCGTGCTGTGTTGAATGTCTGTGTTGGTGTTGGAGGGACAGGCTGGCCCTTGGCAGTGAGGGAAGAGGGAGCAGACAGACGACGATGAGGAGGAGGAGGAGGGAGGATTGAGGAGGAGGAGGAGGGAGAGGGAGGAGCTTGGAGGAGAGGAGCCAGCGGGGAGAGTGGTGGGTGCCCAACATTACTATCGTTTAGAGACCGGGAGACGGTCTAATCCTTCAATATTTAATACCAAAGGCGGGTCTTGTGGAGCGTCCACATTACGCGTGCAGTCATGTTGTTTGTTTGCGGCCTTTACCCGGCTGCCAGATCTTTACAGAACAGACCACCAGTTTAACTTCGCAGCTGCTGAACTCGGAGGGGAAAAATCCCCCTGTGACACTTTAGCCAATTTTATAAAGATATATGCGAGTTTTTCTGGGTTGGGAAGAGCACATTAACCTGCAGCGTGCCCCCTGTCCATTGCCATACAAGCACCGGGCGTTCAACTTTTGAAAGCATGTGCGTGTGCGCCGCTGGAGTGCATCGTGTGCCAGCATGATAAATACCCCAGCCCTCCCTTCCCTCCACCCCCTTCAGGCCTTTGTGCCCGTCTCCCAGACATAAATGATTAAGCACGTAATGTTAGCATTAGGCCAACGGCGGCGTCTGTACGGGCCGCTCACACACAGACCACATGCTGCTCCTTTAATCAGAGCACAAAACAGAGGCTGCCACACAGAGATAATCAGGAGCTCTGTCTGCTCCCTCTAGACCAGGGGAAGAGGGGAGCGGCAACGAGGGCAGGGAGCGGGCAGGAGGGCATGAAGAGGTAAAGGAGGCATAGCCAGGGGGCAGCTGGGGGACAGTGGGTCAGAGAAGAGCAGAGAACGGGGCCAATGTGGGAGAGACATGTGGGCTGCAAAGTCGAGGTAGGCCAAAGGGAGGGAAGGGGAACAAGGAGGTGTCTGGTATCAGCGCCCAGGGGGACAACAGGAAGAAGGGCACCATGCTGGTGGGGGGACTGTCGGCTGGGCTATGGTGAAGCCAGGGGGCCGGAGGAAAAACGGATAAAGAGATAAGCAGAGGAGCGGCGGACAATAGTCTGGAGCACAGACTAGAGCCTAGAAAAAAAAAAGGTGATTCTGTCTGACTGGTTATCTTGATATTGACTCATATATCACTCATGTAGAAAGACAACAAAGAGCACACCACCCTGACTCACACATTGCTGACAGATCAATAACTCACCTCAATTAACTAAGTAGAGCATGTCATGAGGCTCCATTTAATGGCTTCAATTAGTGTAGGTAAATGATTTGCAGCATTTTTGTTTACATTTACTGCTGAAAGACCCTCAACGGGGCACTGAAATTGTCTCTGTCTCAATTCATCTCTCCCACGCAGACACTTTATCTTAAATAAGCTATCATAAGCAGTGAGCCGCACACTGACAGCCAAGCAGCTAGGCAGTCCTATTATGTGTTTGCTTATATGTACACAGCAAATATTTCAGTCTATGCAAACCTGGGGGCCTTTTGAGTTGCCTGGTCTCCTACATAGTATGTGCCCACATGCAAAATGTTTGTATTGCAATTTATTTAGCAAGAGAAAAGTAAACAGAAACTACTCTACATCTATCTACACATGAGGCGTCGTTTGTTGGTAACATATCACCCAGCCAGCTAACAGGTTTGCCTGATGAATGCACAGTCTAGGAGTAGTCCTGATATTGGAAACCTAAGAAGGGAATCTTGGAAAGGAGGTAGGGCTAGCATCTGCAGAACCGATTGCGATCTGAACAGACAACTTTATGGCACTGTGTGTGAATGTGTGTGTGTGTTTGTTGCAGCTCTCTATCCCTGCGTATTGAATTCTCTGGCAGCGTTCTGCAGTGTGTGTTCACGGAGCTGACATCCTGCCAAGGGTGTGCTCTCACCCCCCCCTTCCTCTATCTGTCTCCCCCCCCCCTCTATCTGTCTCTCCTCCCCCCCCAATCTTTCCTTTTATTCCCTCTTCCTATATCCTCTGATGTGGTGTTGTAATAGGAAACCAGTATAAATACTGCACGGTAATTATAAGTTAAGATATATTTTCCCATGTTTATTGCTGTTGGAACTAATAATCTAATGGGTCTTACTATAATATAATGCCGAGCAACATTTATACACTGAGTAAGCGGTTTGTTTTACAATGCATTATGATCCCTTCTCTTTAACACCCTCCTTCAATCTGTGAAGGGTCAGGCAGTTTATATTGGTTGCCATCTCAGAGTGACTTGAACTCATGTTCTGCCGTGGTTAAAAGTAAATCACAGCCATCATAGCCTTTGTTTTTTAAACTAAAACAGAGGTGTGAATGTAGCCCAAGTAGAGTACTTAAGTACAACATTGAAGTACTTGTAATTTACATAGGTATTTCCATTTTATACTAGTTCAAAATTCTATTCAATTACATTTCAGTAGAAAGTAGTAGCATTGAACGTAGGTAGTAATAGCTCCACCTCAACCAAGCTGCAAAGTTTAATGGCTACACATTAAGGCACCAGTAAAAAACTAAATAACACAGATTATATTTATGTATGAAAGCATAATCAGGACGTTTACTATTGATTTTTTTTTCATAGTTTCAGATAATACTAATGTTTTTCTTTTCCCCCCCACAGGTATTTAGTATGATGATATTGATGCCTCTGAGATGCGTAAGCACTGACCTTGTGCATGGAAATACAGAGACCACATTCAGCTCAACACAAGGTAGCCAAAGTCTCTACAGCCCGGAGAGAAATAGTTGAAATAGACGTGGCCAAGAGAAAAGTATGTTAGGGTTGACTCCTGCTGAGTGCCGCTCAAGAGACTTGAAAGTGATCCTACATATCAAGGCTCCCATTTTATGACGCCATGCTTCCTCCCTAGACTCTTTCCAATGATTCCACTCCAGAGGGCTATCTTGATAAGCACTTCTCTAAGAAGTTGAGCAGAGCTTAAAGTGATTAGATGGAGATGATTAAACATGCCACTCAAATGCTGAAACAACTGAACCCCCAAAAAGAAGGACTTGACAGCTATGATGATTTAAATACATTTGAGGAGTTGGTACAAATTTCCACTTACATCTTCAAGTGCCATGGTAATAAAAAAAAAAAATCTATGTTTCACATTTGTTGTTTCTAAATGACATTTTTAAACTGACTGTTGAAATAGCTTTTAACAACAAACCAAACCTGTTAGTCTAGTTGGATACTTTATCATTTTGGTCTGTTTTGTATTCAGGTCAGGATGAAGGAGAGAATGACAAAACACTACTTTGTCTGATGAGCATGGCGTATCACTGAGGTTGAGGAGGGAGGAGGCTGGAAGCCCTGCAGGAGCTGCTGAGTCATCATGCTGGCAAAGGGGGAGACGAGAGGTGGAATCTGTGTCTGAGCTGGCAGGCTGGCACAGTTACCATGGCACAAATAGCCCAGGCACCGAGGAAACTGCAGCAAACTGCAGGGCGGCGAGGGAAGAAACAGGCAGAGACTGGGGCAATGCGGAGCCTGCTGTTTGTGTCCCTGTCCCCGTCCCCGGCTCCAGACCCAGACAGCCAAAGTGCCAGCATGCCATCAGGGACACACAGATGGTTCACTCCTAGGTGGATGTGGGTGTAATACAGACCTGAGGGCGAAAGTCCTCTTTGCAGCAGCCCACATTCATATTCACACTACAGCTCAGCAAATATACACGTTCACCTCAGTCGAAAAAACATTCTCTGCCTACAGTAAAATACGACACTTGGGATGACTAAAACAGAGTTAAAAGAACGCCCAATCTTAACAGTTGAGTAGGTTATGAGGAAATACACACTTTTACTTGATACAAATGTGCTCATGAACTATGTAGAATATAAGATTACAATGAGTCCTACAAAAAAAGAAGCATGCACATGAATGATTCAAACACTGGTGTTTAATTTAATGTTTGACCATCAGAGCATCAGACCATCATCCAAAAAAAAACTGTTTTCCAAAAGTCAAAAACTAGCTCACAGTATGCCAACACTATGAATAAAAAACAACAGTTTCTACCTGACTTTTATGAGTGTTATTAATTCCTCAATTACATCTCAATCATGAAACGAATGTCTCAGAAATCATATTAACACGTAGCACCAGCCAATCTCTGGTTGTGTCATCTCGAAAACACCTTGAGGCAAACCAATTTATGACAGATTTGATGGGCCTTCTCATCTAGTGGAAGGTTTGTTGTGTATTTGGTTTTACGCCTAAGGCCGCTACACACAGTGTGATATCAGCAATCGCGCAGGTTGATTGCATGTCACACTGTGGAAGATGGGTCTAATAAAAAGTTGGATTCCAAATCTGTGTCAGGCTGTACGATGTCAATTTTGAGTGTGTGATGAATGCCTGGTGAAATGTAGGGTTATGGAGGAAAAAAAGAAAAGCAGAGACATGTCATGAAGTCAAATCATCCACCTGTGCTGCTTTTTGTGTTTTGAAAATGTAGAAAAACACTAAATAGGGTTTGGCTTTACTTCCTTTAAAATTCCATACAGTATTTTGAGCGGTTGGTTTGTAGACTTGGCTTGTAACAGCTGCCACATTGTAAGTGGTCCTAAAAGGATTTGCTTTGTTGTAATGGAGATCCATTACAACAGGGCTACTCATTTGAAGGTGTGTCTTTAACTGATGACGCGCTTGTCTTGAGTCAATGAAGTTTAAAAGCAGCATGCTCTTTAGCGTCATTTCCAATTAAAGTGTGCAATGGCTGCTATTATGTTATGCGTTACATTTTGTCATCTACGAAAACGGACAAAGGTTGACAAAATGGATCTAGAAAAGGAAGCTACCATTCAACGTTTGAGGAGAATGGCAACAGAAAGAGGAAGAGGAACCAACATTGGACAGAGACATATATGGGCGTAGTACTCCAACATCACCTCAACCCAGGTGGGAGGTGGGTTGGGCACGCTTTGACCCAACTCCGGACACTGACCATGTCAGGCGCATCTTGGCGCGTTTAAACTGAAACACAAATCAACTTGGCTTGATTTGACTTGACGCAACCAAAAGTGGCAATGGAAAAGCCCCATTTGTGTTTAGGCCAAGCACACGCTCGACAACAAGATGGCAGTCGAGTTTCCAAAAATATGCAGGTCATTGTAGCAGCAGGATCAGAAAATATTAGGACAGATATTTTGTTTGATAATGTGAAATATCCTCTGACAAAATAACATTAGGAGAGCAGCTGGTTTGAGTAATGAAGAATCTACCCATGAGACCACTTCCAAGTTAATTCTTTACAGCATTCTTCTGGTCCAATTGGGCTTTTAATCTGCGAGTAGAGCACAAAATACTAACGAAGCAGGCACTTTTGCTCTGTCAAACAAAAAAGCAGCCCAAACTTGACACCTTTAAATAATACTGATATATTTCGGAAATGCTGTCCTTGGTAATTAACTCAGGTCGTGTATTGGCATCAGTACTGAAATATTCTGAACTCAATGCAGTGCTGTGACCTTGTCTGGTGTAACAGTGAAACGCAGGTCGACCCCTTCTTGATATCCTGTGTCATACTCTGAGGGGGGGGTTTGTGTGAGAGACGGATCGTTCTGCTGAGTAGAAAGCAAAGCTCATTAACCTTTGGAAACACACCTCGCTGGCCAAGAGCCTCATCAAATGGGAGATGAAAGAGGGACGTCTGCGGCCCCTTGGAAAAGTTCGTGGAATCCGCAGTGCCCCGTCAGGTCGAGCCAGGCTCCATCTCTCAGGGCCCTACAGTATCTCAGCAGCTGCCTCCATTCACAATGTGAGGAATGTAATCAAATGCAAATGCCCCCTGCTTATGTTCAATTCTCACTCACACATTCATTGTACTAGGCAACAGCATAGCAGGTTTTTTGTTCCTTGGATACAGTACAACACACACACACACTGTATTCGGCCTAGATCAAATGTAATCAGAGACAATAGTTGCCTTTTCTTCCGGCTGGAGTCCCACCCTACCTTCCACCTCTGCACCAACAACACACACTCTGACACACACTGCCAGGCCCGGCACCACAAAACAGACAAGCATTTCCGATGACACTTTTGTTTCCACTGAAGTTCCACAACAAGGTTTGAAAGACACAGCGCCCCAGGGAAATAGTTGTCAGAGAAGGAGGACAACTGAAGACAAAGGCCGAAAGTCTGGGAGAGTCTGGCACACAGACAGTGAGGACAACATTTGTTCAGCGTGATCACGAGACACCACGTCACCTGTGCAAAGAACCAAAACGTAAGCAACCACACTCATATTTCTACATAGTAATAGTAGTTTTTCTGGTTCTGAGAGGTTTTGTTATGTCCTTGTGTTGAGTGAAGTCTCATGAGACACAACCAGGAAGGGTTTTTTTTTACGGCATTGTGAAGACACTGTTAACAAGTCTTTTATGCAATGGTCACCATAGCAATTAGACATTCATTTTCACACAGCCATCAAAAACATTTGAAACGGCCAATTCAAACACCGTCTTTATGGCCCTCAGCTATGTTTGCCAACAGAGGAATGCACAAACACTCTCCCTCCAAACGACCATCTCACAAAGTTCACTGGTCTGGGGCGGGGCTATTCTCAAAAGGACACCTTGATTTGTGCCACGGTACACCCTTTAAACATATTAACCTTCTTGTGAAACAAGTAAAATCAGGCAAACAGTCAAAAGGAGCTGTGCGTACAGCTAATCAAAGTTGGGGGAATATTTAGTCTCGATGGATTCTGCGTCCTGCCTGGCAGAGCTACAGGAGTCACGAGGGCTGACGCGATAACCTTCGCTGTGTGGCCCACAAACATCGACTGAACCGTTCACCACCGTGATGATAATCGCTCAGCAAACAGCTTGCAACGACACAGTGTGTATACAGCACTACGCTCCTTAGTGCGGCTGACCCGGGCTGTAACATCCCGCTGCCAATGGAGTCTTTATGGCCGGGAGTTTCCTGGCCTTCTGGAGAGGAGAGACCGGTAGTAGTAAAAAGAACTGCAGTAAACGGTTTCAACAAACTTTAGTGATCAATTCAGAAACGGGAAATTAATTAAATTATACGTTTTCAGTGGAAATCAACTGTGATGATATGATACTAAAAAATATTAAACTACCATTGGATTTTCAGCTGCCAGTCGGACAAAACAAACAATTCAAACATGTCAATTTGCACTGTAAGAAATGGTGGTGTGGATTTATTTGAATGAATTATTTATTGATTAAGTTATTGTCAGATTAATGAAAATAATTGTGAGTTTAGGCGGAGGAGTTTTTTGCGTAGCACAATGTACGTGAATGCAGATGTCGCAAAAACAATTGGGATATTGATCTCAGCCCCTAATTACAAATGCCCCATTTGGCTCAAGCATGGGGGACTGGACTGGTCTAATCCAAGCAAGCCCCATCAATGTGAAGCTGAAGCACTACCATCGTATCAGACGTGCTTGAGTTCACGACCCCGTGACCCAAGAAATAAAAAACATAGATCATTCTGAATACACAGACTAAGTGGCCACACCAAATGGGAGCCCATGCCTGGGACCGGGAATGAGATCAGAGAGAGGCAGCAACTGAAACAAAGCCATAACTTTCCCCACTAACAGCTGAGCGATAAGACAAGAGCACTGAAGCAAGTGAAGGGCTCATAAAATGTGTATTGCAGACTGTCTCCAGTGCAGTCTGGGGTTGGTGTGCAGAAAGAGGAGCCACGAGCACTGCAGATCTGTGTGTGTGTGTGTGT